TCCATTCTAGTTGTTTTCATCAAATTGTCTTTTTGGTAGGAAAAAATGTGTTATGTGGCTACATCTCAGAACTTTAGCAAATGATACCGTTATCTGTTTTCTACACCTAATTTCCTATTTCTCTCTTCCTGAATTCCTTTAGTCATGAATTGATTTTTTGTTATCATGTTCATCTCTAGTCCTGATTTTTAAATTAGTTTGGTCCTTATTTAACCTTTTTAAAAATTATCTGTAAACAGTTGTAAAAGGAGTTACCATTGAACAAAGCACTTTATGAAGAAAATACATCTTGATCAACATCACCCCTTTCAACATTGTTACCCATCCCTTTCAATCAACCCTCTCCCTCACTCTTAATTGTGTAGGCTATACAATGAAGTCTTGACTACATTCTCCCGGCCCTATTTATTCCTCTACTTTTCTTCCCTTGTCTCAACCCCATCTCTCTCTTTCAAGTTACCCTTTCCCTGGTGTTTATTTTGTTAAACTTTGCCTTTGCTTTTCTAAAGAATTACACTATTTGAGCTATGCCTTGAATCTACCACATTTCAGTTAATAAATCTATATACATTTGCATACTACCCAATGTATCATTTACTTATAAATCCATTAGTTAATTCTAGCTTCCAAATAAGGAAACCATGTAACTCTTGTTCCTCTGGGCCTGACTTAGGTCTTCTATTTCCTTACAAAGTTCAAGTACAAAATGTTCCATTTAACATATTTTCTTAATTTTACTATCCATAATACTTCCTGGAAGTAAGTAATCAGTATCTGGTATGTAGACTTTTATTTCTTTACATTGATTCCACATATTCATTCACCCATCCACTGACACACCTACTCAAGACCACATCTGGACTACAGAGAACTAGCACCCACATAGATACTTAACCGAAGTCAACATTAGGTTCTTTTAAACCACATTCAGATAAGTAAGTCTTCATGGAAACACCTGGAGTTGGTCTAGCTACTGAGATGAGCACATCTCTGGAGTAAAAAAAGAACCTATGTATTTAGAATAAGATGTAAAACACATTTTCCCAGAGGTTGATATATTATTTATACATTATTTGGACACCATGAACTGTGTGAAGCAGCATTTACAACTGCCACAGCATTTCTCAATCCTCAAACTTTCAGCTCCTCATGTAAGCTCTACCTGTTGTGGCAGACCTTCTCCATCATGGTACTCTTCCTAGCTTTTTCCAACTCTGCTTGGATATTTACAGGTGGAATTATTTACTAAATGTCAATTACAGTACCAGAATATAAAGCACATGAGGGCACAGACTATGTCTGTCTTGATTAGTCTATATCATCAACACCTAGTATAGTGCTTGGCATATTCTAAGTGTTTGATGAGAGGATATTTACTGGTAAGAGGGCAAGGTTGTAGTCACTTTAACAGGTAAAAAAAAAGAAAACTATGAAGCTGTCTGTCATCATTGAATATTTTCTTCTATTTGGTATACTTGGGTATTAGCTTTTCTTTAAGGTTACAGATTCGCTTAAGAAAAGCAATTCAAATGTGCAAAGTGTCCTGCAAATGTTTAACTCCAATGTGGAAAGGGTATCAGCAATACTTATGGCAGTAATTTCAAGTGAGATAATGATCTCTGGGTCAATATTGATAGGGTACACTTGGACATGGTCTTATTAATTCCAAGGGGGAAAAATGCTATAATCAATAAGTATATTGACTGCCTACCAGGCATGCAACTTGATTTGCCCAATGTGTCTTAAAAAGTCTCATGTTTCAAACTCTTTACATTATGATTGGCATGCAGCTGAAATAGAAGGGAAGGTTCCTAGAAAGAGTCAATGCTATATTTACGGGAAAATAGTTGGTATTGCACACATGCAAATAAAGAAAACTACACAGTAACACAAATGAAGTGAGTCTAGTCTACTCTGATGGGCAGACATGCAAATGTGAATAGAAGAAAGCTCCAAGTTGTTCAGAGCAATGAAGAATAGGTGGGCTAAAGTAAAGGTTTCAATCCAGAGGGAAAGAGAAATTATCCTAATTTTATAGAGATGTCATGGCATATCCAGTAAGTTCAAATGAATTAGTTGTGTAGTGACAAAACTAAGATTCAAACTTAGAACTTTTGCCCTGACATCTTGCAGGAAGTCACATTGAGCTATACCAAGGAATGGGACACTTGGCTCTCTTAACTTTTCAAAAGCAAACAACTCTTACTAGATTTCATATGGCAGCATAAACACATTTTTCTCACTCTTTCATTTTATCAGAGGGTATTACTGCTGTCTTTAACTACAAAATAAAGACAAATATAAATATAAACATAAATACAATATAAATATACTATATATAGTAGATATACACTATATGTCTCAAATATACTATAACTATTAGGTCATAATTTCAGAATCCTTTATCATCATCTGTCTGTAAGAATAAAATGGTCCAGTCAGAGTCTTCTCCGTTTCTTTTCCATCAATTCTGTTTTGGAAGTGCATACTACCTGTTTTCATTGCAGTACTTTTTAAAATTTCTAGTCAACATTAATTTTATTCAAATAGAGTAATCCTCCCCTTAGCAGTGAATAATTTGCTCCCACCCCCCACATACTGTATACTCAGTTAGCATAACAGCTTTTGAGTGCTTCAGAAATTTTACACAAGTCTTTTGAAATTATGCTGAAGAATACATCTTTCGTCTTCCTAGAGAAATTCTGTCTTCACCAGAGAAATTCTGTCTTATGAAAAAGTTCCCCAAATGAAAGAGTTCTATCCCCTCCCTGAAAACCTGTGATCTACCCTAAGGCAACACAACAGAGTGAAAGAACACAAAATCTCAAAAACAGTGATGTTCCCAAGTGTCTCTCACAAGCTTGTCACATCAGAGCCATACAAAAGCAACAAACACCACCCATGAGACACTGTGCTTGTTCTCAAGCAACACTGCATCACTTGCCATTATGAAAATGGAGAGAATAAAGTCTGTTCTGATAAAATAATATCTCATTTCAATTTTAGCTGGGCACTGTTGACCCATGCCTGTAATCCTAGCTACTCTGGAGATAGAGATCTGAGGACTGTGGTTTGAAGCCAGCCTGAGTAGAAGAGTTCATAAGACTGTTATGTCCAATTAAACACCAAAAAGCTCAAAGTGGAGCCGTGGCTCAAGTGGTAGAATGCTAGCCTTGAGAGAAAAAGCTAAGAAGGCCATGTTCAGGCTCTGAGTTCAAACCCTAGTAATCACACACACACACACACACACACACACACCCCACATTTCAATTTTATTCATGTGTTCATTCTTTCTACACTCAAGGTAGATAATAGAAGTAAGGCGCATTCAATACTCACACAGTGAGTACGTCCACTCATTGTACCCTCTGTATAGTTCAATAACCCTCATCCAACCCAAATTTCTGGTTTTATACAAAAGTATTTGCTGCTTAAAATTAAAAAAAAAAATCACTGGCCTTAAACTCCTCCCACTTTCTTTTCTAGTAAACATTCATCATTCTTTAAAGTATAGATTTTGTTTTGTGTTAGGTAAGGCCTAATCTGATCATTTAGTGTCAAATGTATTTCATGTTGCTACTCCCAGTTTACATTACATCACATTATATCTTACCATGTAAGACTAAATGTCTGAGTCAACGCCTTACAAGCAGTTGGCATGTGTTAGTGTACTCTCCATCCTTCACTAAGTGCCAAAGCTCGTTCCAATGGCATGCTTGTGTCCAATGGCTATGGTAGTCACTGCACCTATCTACTAGTAACTATGTTATTATGTCCCCTGGCTACAGAGGAGCAGCCATCAAAGTCAATCTGCTCTTGAAGAAGTGTGGCTACTGCAGACCCATTCAGTAGATATGGGTCTCTGGGCTGGGGAGAGGGAAATCAGAGAATCATGTGCTGTCTGCATGTCAGTGAAAACATGTACACCGGGACTTGGAATTAATAGCGGTCAAGGGCCCTATCAGGCGTTCTAGACACCAGGTGCAGTACAGGAAGATACCTATAACACCTCACTAATGTCAGAAAATTCCAGACTGACTCAGAAAATGGGTTGCCTTTTCCTGCCTCTCACAGGCCGTTTGACCTCCTATCTATCATTTGATCGATTTTTCTTCTTCTGTTCTTATTTTTCTTAGTCTCTGAAAGTCACACTCACCTATTCTGACATATCTGGAAAGGAATAGTACTTCCAAATTAAGAGATTACCATTATAATAAAAGAATGTAATAATGGACCTCTTGCTGTGCCGTTTTCTGGCTAGTCAGTAATAATGACCTCGTTTCCTTGTTTCAGGCACTTTATGCAACTGTATGCAACTGTAGAGAGACAGCATAAGTCATGGAACAGAATGGGCTTTATTCCACTGCATTACTTCCTGTTAACCACGGGGATTCATTCAGTAGGTTAAGGAGGGAAAAGCTAGTATTTACCCTGAAGTTTAATTTTCTTTAAAAGAAATGAATGTGTACTTGCTTATCACAGGAGGTGATGGTGTTGGTGCTCAGAAAATATTATTTGAATTTGATCTGAAGCTATGCACTTTTCTGTTGATCATTTAGAGGCACAATCACACCGTTCACATTTAAAACTACAGCCTTTTCTGCAGTATGATTGTTACCTCTAATTATTATTTTCTTTAAAGTAAAAATCTACCATAGTAGCTGTTGGTAGCTTTACTTATACATCAAAAATATGCTAGAAAATACCTGGAGTATAATTTTTATCTTTGATTACTGTTTTACAAAAGCAGGAGTAGGAGAGTAGGAGCTGGTGGTTTTACTTATGCAACCGACATCTTATGGAAAATATATAACAAGTCCAAGTGGTTGGGTACCACCTATGACAAATATAATTATGATAGTATCTTTAACTATAATCACAAAGCGTGCTTCAAACAAGAAGTGAAAAAGGAGGGGAAAAAAGAGAATGATTAAAAAAAAACAGCAAGCAAATATAAGACAGTAGGATAAATGCCTATAAGAAGGACTTTAAACACTTACCTTTGTTATTGTATACATCTAAGTAATTTGGTGCTGAAAAAATGGTAATTAGAGAAGGGAAGCCTGTTGTTTGGCTTTTCCTGTACATGCGATACCTAAAAACAATAAATGTAAATTAAAACTTGGCTAGCATAGAAAAAGGATTACACTACATTATAGATTTGGAATACGAAATTAAGTGAATTAAGTTTAATCTTTGCAAGAAGATTCAATTACGTAACACCAAATAAAATTTCCTCTCTGAAAAATAGTCATCGACTCATTGTAGATAGGACAACAAACATACAATCACATGATCAATTTCCAAACAGGAATCTTCTAAATTTAGTGAGCTTCAGGGGTGCATGAAACTCAGTGGAAAGTCTTAATTTATTTCCATGTGTTGTTCAGTAGAATAGGTGATGGCTAGTTAGTACACGTTTTTTTTCAGAATAGTTTTACATAAAACAATCGAGTAAGTTCAACTATATACAAAGTCTAATCACCAACAACTAGGTCAATCATTCCATAAATCTACATAATGGTTCCCTATAATAAGCCTTTTGCCTAAACTAAGAGTGACTCATTTAATGTATGGATTTTAGTGAGACTTTCTATTTTAGAATTTTATTTATCGCTGCACTCTGCTGGTGTCTGCAGCCAAAGATTACTGTCTCAGCATGGTAATATTTAATCACTTAGTAATAAAACAGAGCCTCCACAAGAAATTTGGAAATAAACCATAACATATCTACTTTTCTTCTAGTGGGATTAAATCATTTATAATATAACATTTTAGTTCTCCAATAATCAAAAAGTTCAGGAGACAGTGGCTCTCTCAACAGAGTGAAATTACTTTCACAACATAAATTTAGGCTTGTCAATTTAGAAGCATCCCTACAAAACAAAACTTTACCACTTCTTTGGTATTCTTTTAATTTTAGTATATTAAACATGCTTAATATAGCTTGGTCCTATAAATACTTCAAATAGCACCTCTGTATAGAAAGCCATACTAACGTTTATCATTTTTATTTTTATTTATTTATTTTTTGGGGGTCTGGTCATGGGGTCTGAACTCTGGGCCTGGGCGCTGTCCCTCAGCTCTTCAGCTCAAGGCTAGCGCTCTACCACTTAAGCCACAGCGCCACTTCTGGCTTTTTTCTTTTTTGCTTATGTGGTGCTAAGGAATTGAACCCAGGGCCTCATGCATGAAAGACAAGCACTCTACCACTGAGCCACCTTCCCAGCCCCCACATTTATCATTTTTAAAAGACTTTGATTCTTCTCTTTTTGGAATTATTGGGATATACCATTTTTTCTTGAAGGAAATAATCTATTAAAAATCCTTTTGAAATACTGTATTTTGGGAACTGTGCTTTTGGTAGGCCCAAGGATTGCTGTAAAAAATAATGGTGTTTACAAACTAGGTTGGTTATGCCTACTTGGCAGTAAAGATAAACAAAACAAAACAACAGCACTAACAACCCCAATATAACATTCTTAGATCCTGTAAGAATAAATCAATTGCTCATTTTAAACAAAAATACTTGTTGATGTTAATTTAGTTACTCAACACATTTTCGAGTAGTCAAATGATCTCACATATGTAATTAAAATTACAATAATCTGCCTCAATAGTCAGCCAAAATAACTTAGAGATGCCATTACTTGAGGATCCAATAGTTATACATATTAACAGCTACAGCACACTATATAATAGCAGATCAGATCATATGTTTGTTGACTGCTAGCACAAATCAATCTAACTTTGAAAGAAACTTAGCTTCTACTTTGCTTCAAGAACAATCTTGATATAAGTCTCCTTAGGAATCCAAGTAAGTAAGTATACCTACTTTTCAGAAAATCCAAAACCTGAAGGGATGAGTAAACTCACTGAGAGGCAAACAATACCTTTCAGTGTGAATGAGACTTCAAATCCTGAAATTAAGTTGATTCCTCACCATTTAAAACAATAAAGTAATTATGTAACATGTCTTTGTTTTCCAGATTCTTAAAACTCTCCACTTAACACATTTACCAGACAATAAAAACCAATATTATTGTAATTACACAGAGAATGGAATATAGTATGATCTCCTCTGTTTAACATATGTCCTATTGTTTTCTTCCTTTAAAAGTGATTGGTCATGGTATTTTGTTTTGGAACAAGAATACAACTTGTAATACCCATACAACTGTTAAAAATATTTATGTGTAGTTGTCATTTATCTGGTACCCAAACTAAAAAATAAAAAAGCTGGTACTTTTTTACTCACTCATGGACAGTGGTAAATGTAGAAGTTGAGAGAGATAAGGGGAGGTGTCCTGATATTACTTAAGAAAACAAGCTAAAAGTTGAAAGATGAAAAAAGAAGCCTCCATTCATTCCCTAGGACTCTCCATATCTGCACTGTGAGACTATTTTACATTCTAATTCCTTCTGAGGATAAGCCTGGCTGGAGGGACTCTGCACAATCGAGGAACAGGGACAACATGAGCTTGCAGCTGGCCTCAGGACTACTCACCCTGCATCTTGGGCTTCATGGGCTCGAAGTATAGATAACAAGTTATTGTGCTGCAAGAATTCACATACAGCGGGGTAACTGCCAGAGGAAAAAGACAAAAGAGAAGCATGTTAGGAAGGCATCAGGAACTACACATTGACCTCCAACAACCAACCTCCAGTTTGATCAGGCACACACACATCATTCATGTAAATCTATGTCCTGGACATTAGGGATAGGTTTCTCCCCATGGGCAGAATAAGTACCAAGGTCATAATCCCAAAGGAACGAATGTGTGCGAACCAAAGAAAAAACACAGAGGTCTTTATATTAAGTTTTCATTATATCAAATCAATGTCCTATCATTAAAACACAAAATGAACAGGAACATAAGTGTATCATAAAAATTGGGTTTAGATGCAAACCTTAGTTTCTTCAAATAGAACACTATTTGCTTGCACAAGTGCATGTGTGAATGTGAAATACAAGACTGTGTTAGGAGCTGGGGGAAAAGTGAGTGTACTGGGAAATTAAGCTCTCAATTCAGCTAATATTACATTGCACATCTAATACATACATTGCACTGAGTAGGCTGCACAAAATCTAGACAAAATTATGGAAAGTCACAAGGTTTTGATTTTGTACTTTAAATGTGATCAAGGGACTTTTGAGTCGTACTTTACTTAGTAAAAATATTCAACATACAGTCCTTATGTTTGTCGTTAAGAAAGCATTTCACCAAAGAACATGATTGTGAGTGAAATTCAGATTACAAATTAAAACTTGGGGGAAAAAAAAGACCATTATAGTCATGATGCCTTTGCTTTATGATTAAGATAAATGTACGTGATAAAAAAAAATTGGCAGGGGCTGGGAAGGTGGCTTAGTGGTAGAGTGCTTGCCTTGCATGCATGAGGCCCTGGGTTCGATTCCTCAGCACTACATAAGCAGAAAAAGCTGGAAGTGGTGCTGTGGCTCAAGTGGTAGAGCGCTAGCCTTGAGCTGAAGAGCTGAGGGACAGTGCCCAGGCCCAGAGTTCAGCACCATGACTGGCAAAAAAAATAAAAAAATAAAAAATAAAAAAATTGGCAGTTCTAATCTGAGGACCAAACCCCAGCAGTGATAACATAAATAGTTAGCAAATATACATTAAAACTATATAAATGCACACACACACACACACACACACATATACATAAAATCAGGGATACTCATCAGTTATAAAAAGCATACTGGAAAAATATTTTATTCATAAACAGAACTAAAATAATCTACCATAAAAGAGAAGCTGAATATCATTTTTATGTTACATATTTGCATGAATTCTCTGATCAACAGGAAACAATACCGCTATTATCTAAAGAAGTTGTAAGGAAAATCAGTTCTTTGGTAAAAATGGGAATCACAAACAGAAAATAGCTTCTGTGTATGTATACAGCCTTATGTGCGTGTGTGCACAAGCGTGCGTGCACTATGCAAATGAAAGAGGAAAAAGGGGAGGAGCCATCCACCAGGTCTTCACTTCCTGACGCAGGTCAACCTAGTCAACAGGCCATCTATGGGATTTAGGAGAATTGCAGACAGGTTTTGAGGGCTCCTACTGGAGCTTCCATGGTTCTTAGAGAATCCAACCTTGTCTCCCATGGCTTTTGTTCTACTTAAAGAAAAGGTGAGTGTGTATGCCTTTCAGATTGGCATCAGTAAAGAAATCTATGCTTCAGAGATACTCGTTCATCCTCCAAAAATGGCAGATTTGTTTGGTAGATATTTAGCTATAACATTTTATAGAGTAGTTTTATAGAGTAGTAGCTCAAAATAATGTTCCTTCTGTATCTCTTGAGTCCTTTATCACCATGTCTTGTACCTTTGCCTCTATATACCAGGGTTTATTGTTTTGTTGCTTCTGTCAGATTGAGGTTATTTGTGTAGGCTTGTCACTTTTCTGTCCCTGGGCAAGGTTTAATCGTGTTCTTCCTCAGCTTCCTTTGGGAACAACTTAAACTCTTCTGAAACTATAACTATATAGAGTATCTTCCTCATGCTAAGTTTGATATTACTGTGTTTGGGCTAAGTTGGCTCCAACTCTTCCTGCGAGATCTCCTGTAGAACAGAAGTCCTCACTTGTACTTGGATGCTGATTGCTTCAGGAGTGGGAAGCAATGTTTTATTACACACAAATTAAGACAAACAAACACAATAAAATCTTTTCATTTTATTTTGCGATGCTGTGGTTTGAACCAGGGCTTTACAAATACTAAGCAAGTGCTTGAACACTGAAGTACATCCCCAACTTCAGAAAACTAATTTTTTTTATTAAAGTCAAACATCTATAAAGAAAAGGCCACTTATGAAAAGAAAACAACTTAACCTTTCACAGAGTGACCATGTTCATACTCAATACTCTGACTGAGATCCAGATATTTCCCATAGCAACCTCACTATCATATTGAAGGTTAACCATGTTCCTGCTTTTTAACTTTTTCCATGAGCTTTCTCAGATGCTGAAGTGATGGAATCATATGATACACATTGCTTACTACCTTCTCTACTCATCATTTTTCCCGCGCTATGCATCCGTATTATTGCATGTCATTTTGGAGCTCATGTAAACTTGATTATAAGTGTACATTTGAGCTGTTTCTACTGCTTGGCTATTATAACTGCTATGGCTATGATCAATGCACACATGGATGTAGTTATACTAGGTATAAAATATTTAGACAACAGGTTGGCTACCTGAATGCTCAGCTTTAGCAAATAATAAAGCAGCCAATGGAAATTTGGAGGTAAAGACAATTCAAGTGGCTATATGTACAGAATTCCCAGAGTGCTGTCTCCTCTTATATTTCCATGAATGCTAACTTTCCCTGCCTGTAAGAACCTCTTCCAGTGGCTGGGAGGATATATTCTACTCAGCTTTGTATAAATCAGGTCTGACACCACCTTGAAGACAGTGATTAACCAGACAGATTTGCGAGGTAGTTACTCAATCAATGCTTGTTAAATAATCGAATGAGAGAGAATTTGGAAATTCTGGGACATATTAAGTGCAAAGGGGAAGCTATATTGATAAAAGTATATTGATAAAACTTGGGTGAAGAGAGCTATGTGATTTCAGTAGACTAAAAATGAATATGGTAAACTCAGTCTGGGAGGGAGAGAAGGCAGATGATTTAAGTATTGGTGATATTGTCAAAAAGGGGACTGATGGTAATTGCAAAGAAGAAAAGACCTAGGTGCAGGCTAGTTTGCATGACAGAGAATAAAATGTCATCAAAACCAAGCTATAGAAATACTCTCCAGTGGAGATAAAACAAATGGGAAATAAACAAGAACCCTTTTCAGGCAAAGGGAGCTCAGAATGAGGGGAACACCTACATAGAAAATTCCAGGGACAATTACTCAATGGGGACTTCAGTCAGGGAAAGATAAGAGCTGAAGGAGGTGGACACAGATTTGATAAGCTCATCACAGAGCTGACAGAGAACAGAGGCCAGTGAATTAGGTTCCCAGGGAAGAAAGTGAATTTAAAAAATGTCAAAAGCAGGAAGAAGATAAAGAAAGAGACTACAGATAGGCAGAATCTGTCTGGTAAGCTAGAGAGTGACAGAGGAAACCAGACCTTGGTAAGAATCAACCTGCAGAAGGTGTTGATGAATGGAAGGAGCTGGAATCTGTTGATTTGTCATTAAGACATCAGTAGTGATTTGAGTAAGCTACTATTTAAAAATCTTAAAAAATCCAACAACTATCTGCTCCTTAAACTCAGGGCTCGAAGTCTACCTTCACACATTCATTATGAAGCCGACAAAGTCAGAAAACCATGCTGACACGATTCATCCAAGGCAAAGATACAAACTAATAATTTAAGTCTCAGATCCTGTCAACAATATTCTCTTGTTTAAATGAAAATCAAAATTTGATCTCCAATATGTCCCACAATCTAACAGCTGACCCACAATCTAACAGCTGATTCTTTGTCTGTATCTCAGTTACTTGCTTAAAATTTGAGTGTGCAAATCCTGGTTTATGATGATAAAGATGAGAGTAGTTCTGGGTCAAACTGTTCTGAAGGATTTTCTTCTCTGTCACATTGACTATCTGATATGAACTCATCACCAAAATGAATAAATTCTTCCCGATACCTTTTTCAATGTACCTCTGTTTTCTTCAAATGATAGTTGAATGGTATGTTAGATAGTGAATAGAATAGCATATATCAAATTAAACATGCAAGCGATAAATAAAGTTGAAAGGCAAAGCTTAAAATTGTAGATCAAAGTAACTGCCAATAGCTCAAAGTGGTAACGGCCACTATATTTCTGTACCAATTTCATGGCTCAACTGTGCCCATGTACATCAACGTTACAAAGTGCCAACTCAGAAGCTGCCTGAACACTTTCAAGGTAGCACTAACAACATAAAGATCAAAAAGCACTCTGAGATTATGAGACATTTTTCCTTTTGTTTGATAAAATATCATGAAGAGTTATTTGTCTGCAGTCAAGAGTCTATGGACTATGGATTTAGATTGGCAGCGACTTATTTCTCTAATCTGTATTTGTCATGGCTCAAGATTAAATATCTACTAAGAATCTTCCATGAGACAAGTTAATCACTCTGTTGAGCATAAAAGTTTGAGTAGCTGTTGCTGGACTTTATTCCTGACATAAGCACATTTGGTGTTTATATTCACAACACAAAAATATTATTTTATAGAACTCTACTATGGGACTTTGTTCAGATTTGAATTTTTTTATTAACACATTATATTGTGGTGAATAAACTCCTCTATTAATATGTACAACAGAACCATTCTTTGAAGGAGGCTCTAGAGAGAACAAGATTTTCTGTTCACAAACTTCAACTTCCCAGTTACATTAACAGAGGTAAGAGAGAAACCTTTCTTCTCTATAATGAAATTTAATATAGAGAACAAAATGCTCTGCCGTGGAATAGACATCGTTCAAGGTTATACAAAGGAGGATACCTGCCTACTCTCCAGAGGTAAGAGACGTGACTGGCTGTGTTTTATTGAATTCTCCCTTATCATTAGCTGGAACTGAGCATTAACTTTGGGTTTGTTTTTATGTTGGAACAAAGAGCACCTATTTGAGAAGTGAAATTTTTAACGTGCAGCATCTACATGGCTGCATGTACTTGGTGAGGGACTCTAAGGCAATAGGATCATGGGATGCAGAGGCTAAAACAGAGGTGGCAGATCAGGAAGACAGTGACCCGCCAGATACCTGCCTGTGCTCTGGATTCCTTTTTGAAATGTTCTGAAATAGCATGGGTAAGCAAATCCGCCTTAGAAAATGTAAACTTAACGATGCACGTATTTTCAACTTGACTTATCAAAGGTGCTAAAACTAAATGTGTGATCCTACCTAAATACCTTGTAGATGTTCATTTTAATCTATCCCAAAAGCCTGACAAACTTGAAGTCAAACCAACTTGAAAATGTAAGGACTTAATTAACCACTAGACAGCTGGCTTTCTGATTTAAGTTATGAAAACTAGTCCATTTAAAAAATAGAGTTATGGGATTAAGTGATAAACAAGGGTCAGTGATGAATTTTTCCTACAGTTCTTGAATATAGAATGTTTTATTACATGCTACCATCATTTATAGTAGCCTCTCTACCGTCCTCTAACATGGTTTTCGCATTTTCTACCTTTCCTATGTGTGTGTTAGCATATATATTCATTTATCTCCTTTTTCACACTTTTTCATTCACTTATTTTTTGGTTTACCAACTGCTAAGATCCCATTCCAAACAAACTCTAAGGGTAAATCTTTGATTCCTATTTGTTTCCTAAAGAAGCTATGCAAATATCACTACTAAATCCACCACACGATGGATATACTCTATTCATGAGACAAACATATTCTAGCTGGCAAGTAGTCAGGCCTCACCTGTAGAAGTATGAACACCCCCTGACTGTGTTGTGAGTGAAATGTTCCTGAGTCTTCTCATTCCCGAAATCCTCCAGGGGGTCTGACCACAGGATGTCACACATGGGTCCATAAGCAGGTGGTTCTTTGAATCGGTCTAACTAAGAAAAATAGAAGACAGAGAGCAAAATACTAATCTTTGGAAACCTGAATTCAGAAAACGTAAGAAATCTGTTCTTTGTAGTACTCATCTGGTTGAGATTCCCTTTACTGCCCTCTCTTCCATTTGCATCCTGCTCCTCCCTCCATCCCTCCTCCCTCTCGCCCTTCTCTCCAATTTTCCTTCCTTACTCTTAAGGATGAACTCATTTGTTAACTATCTTCATCTCTCCCTTTCCTCTTTAATCCCTATTCTCTCCTCCTGTTCCCTATCTTCCATTCTTCTACAACATTTTGTCTTCACTTAGGTTTTTCTATTCAAATGTCTTAAGTCACAAAGTGACCCAAAGTGTTTAGCAGTTGATAATGACTCAAAAAAGAGGAATGATAAGCAGCAAAGAAACCCCAATTCTGTTGTAGGTTATTTAGCACAATTCTACATTTCACAGGTTTACCTGAACATTGCATTTTCTAGTTGCAGATGTTTATCAAAGTCACATTTCAATCATATTTTAACTTTAACATGCATTTAGTGAAATAGTAGAAATAATAAAAACCCCTTTGGAAAATATCTATGAAAATCTGATGAGGATTGATATTATTCAGACTTGTACTTTTTAATATTTTGAAAATGCTAACAGAGGCATGTGAAACACATTAGGCTGACAACCAAACACATTTTCTATTTTACCTGGAATACACATAAGATACTATCAATAATGGTTTTGAGGCATGCTAATTTGTGCTACCCTAAAGAAAATAAGGAAATCTTTCACATTGTCTCCATCGATGCAGAAATTCAATGTGATAAGACTCTATATTTCAACCATAATGTTGAGCACAATTTTATGCTTATTCATTACAAGTTTTGCTTTAAGAGATTTAAATGATTTATGCATTTTAAATAATTCATTCAAGGAAAATAATACTTGCTCATAAATGTATATAATTTCAGAAAAATAAGAATTTATTAATTAGGGGTACAACAGCTTTCCTGTCCCCCAAATAAACAAACAGGAAAGCCACAGAGGCATAGATTTTCTTCTGAAAAAATTTACAAAGCACTTTTTAAAAGTTTGTTTCATCTACAGTAAAAGTAAACAAATATAAAATTAAGTCAAATGAGGTTGAAATTCCCATCAACACATGCCAATGGGCAAAGCTAAAAATCATTTTATGGTTAAGTGTATGGTTTAATGATGTATATATATATATATATATATTGAACATAATATTTGAAAAAAGCTGAAATGTAAATTCTGGGGATGGAAGGCATTACAAAAAAAATCTAACTAATTTGCCAGGAGATTTTAGTTATTGATATCAAAAGAAGATTATAGAAGAATGAATTAACTTCATTTTTCTCTTACACTATTACAATGATCAGAGTTTATAAACATTCCAAGATTGTATCTCCTACTACATAAAACAATCCTGTATTGTTTTAATTTTTTATAAAAAGAAATAACATCTACATTCAACCTCAGTTATCTTTTTGATGGCTAAAAGAATAGAAATAGCCAAAGCTAAGTTCAAAAAAAGTTGTTTAAAAAGTCTATCATTTTTCACTTAATTATCTCATACAATAAATTAATATAATATTAGACTACTATTTATACATTTTAAGTTATAACAAATAGTAGAAATAAAAGAACATGACATGGATACATTTTAAAGGTGAAGATGTGGTGTTTTTCTAAGGGCAAAGCAACATTTCCATCACAATTTATTATGAATATATAATGATAATTTGAAAGAAACCACAGGGAAATGAAAAGGGGCATGTTTTTTAGAGATCAAATATTTGTATTTCCAGTGATACATGTCATCTGGTAAAACAACCTTCAGCCTTTAGAAATAAACATTCTATGAGTAGAAATAAACCTTTGTTTTCTGAGACCAAAGTTCAACCCAAAGGAGAAAACCATGCTGATGTTACATAGTCAGTGGTAAGGTAAGGGTAATTAAGGTCTTTGTACTCATACTGAGTGATCCAATGTGAGAACTGAACAGCACTTACTTTCCTGATGTCATCTAAAGTGTTGATCTCTGGTGACAAGCCACCGTGCACACACAGGAACTGTTGGTTCATCAGGGCAGCCAAGGGAAGGCAATCGAAGGCATCCATACAAGCGTCATACACGCGTTCTGAATACTTTATTTTACCTTTTAAATATGATTCAAAGCAAACATTTTCCATGAGTTCACAACTAGGCTCACTGCATTTAAATAGTTTTATTTCTGCTTAATATTTTCTTGTTAGGACAATGCTATGAGTATAAAGCTAGACTCAACTATAGTAGTTTAATGTTTATTACAAAATTCTAAGACATAATCAAATAGAGATGTTCAGAACATACATATTAACACCATCCCCTTTACTGAGGCTTAAATGCAAGGCTTCACACTTGGTTGGTTCTTTCGTTCAAGGATACTGTTCTACCACTTGAGCCATACATTTCTGGCTTTTTTTGGTGGTTAACTGGAGGTAAGAGTCTCCATGCCCAGGCTGGCTTCAAACCATGATCCTCAGAGCTCAGCCTCCTGAATAGCTAGGATTACAGGAGAGAGTCACCAGCACCTGGCTATATTAACCTTTTAATCTAGCTATATGTTTATATATATGCATAAATATATATAGCTAGATTATTTATATATATGTTATTTATCCACAGTCTCTACTGGTTTTTTTTTTAATAAGCCTTTGGATAGCAAAGAAAAGACTGTTATGTACAAATTGGTTATTTATCTACAAATATAATATGAAAAAATATATATAAACAAGTGGATGATCAACAGAAAGATGGCCACAGAGCTATCTGGAAAGTCTTGAAAGATTTATAAAAAAGCAAAGGCAAGATGATTTCTAAACCTTTTCTATTTCATGGCAGATTGTTTTTTCCTTATTTGTATCTCGTGTTTTGGGAAAAGTCTTTATGTTCCATTATTTATAGGACTAAATGACAGAGGACAAAGAAGAATCTTACGTCTCAGGAGACAAAGGGGTTTAGAGCATGATCCTCCTGCTTATACTTCCTACTCAGCTGGGATGACAGGCACACACTGACATGCCCAGCGATTTTGTTGGGATGGGATTCTCACTAACTTTTTGCTGGTGCTGGTGTTGAGTTAAGATTATGGGTGTGAATCTCTGGATATAAGATTAAGTTAGCAGCAAACTACTTCCAAAGAGTAATAGTCTGGCCAGTTTTAAAAGGTAACCTGTTCTGTGTTTCTTATAAATTACATCATGTTTTACCTCAAATTATAGGTCACTTTATAGACAATTTGTAATTTAACCATACATGCTGAACACTTGAAACAGCTCATGCTTAGACAAAAATGTTGCATGATATGAAATTCTATTTTAAGTATTTAATTTTAGACAATGTATCATAATATGAAGCATTCTCAGTTACCAATTACAATAATTATTTAGTACATGTGATATTAAAGGCAGAAGCTGCAAAGTATACTTACATTCTTGTTTAAATGTGAAATACTCTGTTAGATGTCTACATTCATGATTTCCACGAAGTAAAAACAGTGTTTTGGGGTAAAGAATTTTCAAGGCCCACAAATACAGCACACACTGAGAAAAATAAAAATATAAATAACATGAAAATAATCATCTTTCCATGATATGCTTTCATTACTTACAAATCTTAAGGTCACAAACTGAATACATTACCATGACCAAAATTATCCAACAAGAACCTTATTCAGAAAGATATTAAGAATCAAAGAAAACAGTGCTTTGGTATAAAGCCATTGTTTATGTACGTCTTAAACACACTCGCACTAATAATTGCACACAGAATGGATTGTATAGGGTCAGAAAACAGTGTGGGATGTAGGAAGTGGGAAAGGTTGGTTTAAAAAAAAAGAATCTGGGGCTGGGAAGATGGCTCAGTGGTTGAGCGCTTGCCTTGCATGCCTGAGGCCCTGGGTTCGGTTCCTCAGCACCACATAAGCAAAAAGAAAAAAGCCGGAAGTGGCTCTGTGGCTCAAGTGGTAGAGCGCTAGCCTTGAGCTGAAGAGGTGAGGGACAG